CTAATCTATCTATCTGTCTATCTATCTATCTATCTATCGATCTATCGATCTATCGATCTATCTATCTATCTACCTACCTATCTATCTAATCTAATCTAATCTAATCTATCTATCTATCTATCTTTCTTTCTTTCTATCTATCTATCTTTCTTACTTATCTTTCTATCTATCTATCTATCTATCTATCTTGCATCAATCTATCATCCATGTATGTTCCTTCTATCTTTCTTTCTATCTATCTATCCATCTATCTATCTATCTTCCTTCTATCTATCTTCCTTCTATCTATCTTCCTTCTATCTATCCATCTACCTACCTACCTATCTGTCTATCTATCTATCTATCCAACTATCCACCTATCCATCTATCCATCCATCCATCTATCCATCTATCCATCTACCCACCTATCCATCTATCCATCTATCCATCTATCCATCTATCCATCTATCCGTCTATCCGTCTATCCATCTATCCATCTATCCATCCATCCATCCATCCATCTATCTATCTGTCTATCTGCAAGCTTGAAAACGCAGCTATTAGCGACACTCCCTCAATTTTTGAACTTGACAACATCCACAACGAGAAATTCTGCGAGACTTCCTCAATTTTGGAACTTGACACCATCCAAAACGAAGCAATTCTCCGAAACCTCCTCAATTTTTGAATTTGCCAACATCAACAACGAAGCAATTCTGCGAGACTTCCTTCAAAAATGGAAAGTTGGGCCTCGTACCAATGCGCTTTGCGATTTTTCCACTCCACCTGTCTAAAGTGCTGCGCCTGCCCCGAAAAAGTGATGCCAGGTCATACGAAGTGCTGCACCTGTCACGCAAAATCACCTTAACAAACCTGCAGATCTGATGCTCCAAAATGCAACCCATCTCAGGAAATCAACGCCTGGATCTCCTAACAACTCTGATGAACATGTCTCTTGTACTGCGCCTGCCACGGAAAATGCATCTTTGCAGATCCTCTTCAAGAGTCCCACGCCTGCCATCGTTTTTGAAAATGCTACAAAAAAACCCTCACGGTTTGTTCACTTTTGACAAGGGGCACAATCCCTCGCGCCTGCCACGCAAAACGGCGCTTCAATGTCCAAAAGTGGCGCGAGCATGTGGTGTTTTGTACATTTTCACTTCGCAATTTGCTTCGCGCCACGACGGCGTGCACTTTTTCGACATCGCAACTTCTAAAAGTGCTCTGGAGCTGAGGTGTTTTGTAGATTTTGGCTTCGAAATGTGCTTCGCGCCACAGCGGCGTGCACTTTTTCGACATCTCAACTTCAAAAAGTGCTCCGAACCTGAGGTGCTTTTAGCTTTTTCACTTGCAAATGTGCTTCGCGCCACAACGGCGTCCAACTTTTCATCTCTCATCTGAAAAAAAGGCTCCGCACCCGCCGCTTTAGCGAGCCTACTTTTCGACCCTCCGGAGCCTAAAATTATTGGAGAAACACAGTGAAACGCGACTTTCCTACATTTTCGCGCGCCTGAATCTTCTTTCTTCTGAATTTCTCTTCTTTGATCTTCTTTCTTCTTCTCTTCTCTTCTCTGACTCTTCCCATCTCTGCTTTTCATCTCTCCATATTGTCGGAAGTTTGACTTCTAAACTTCCTTCGGTTAGATGTCATATATTATCAAAGGAAGTTGGGAAGCAATACTTCCGAGTTACGAATGACTTTTACTTGATGGAATTGACTATGATGAAGGGTGGTGCGCGAGTGAGACTTGACCTTGATGAAGGGTGGTGTGAGACTTTACACTACATAACAATACATCAGAAAAGAACTGACTTTGATGAAGGGTGGTGTGAGACTTTACACTACATAACCATACATCAGGAAAGAACTGACCTTGATGAAAGGTGGTGTGAGACTTTACACTACATAACCACACATCAGGAAAGAACTGACCTTGATGAAGGGTGGTGTGAGACTTTGCACTACATAACAATACGGCTGGGGTCGTTTGGTTCCTTCTATGTGTTTTGCAACAATGCTTGTTCCTGTGTGCGTAGTTCTATGCGTTTCTTGAAGCTGTGGTGCCAGATCGCATTGGAATGGCTGCATGATGTTGCATGGGCTATGTTTTGGGGAGGAAGCCGGAGCACGAAACCTTGTGTTTTCCCGTGTAAAGTGGCTGCAGCCGGCGATGAAAGGTACTTCGTCTGTGCGGCGGTTGCGGCTGGGGTCGTTTCTGTCGCGAATTGTTCCTCCTATGTGGTTTGCAACGAGTGGTTGTTCCTGTGTGCGTAGTTCTATGCGTTTCTGGAAGCTGTGGTGGCAGATCGCATTGGAATGGCTGCATGATTGTTGTCATTTGGTGTTGCCACGTCCGTAGATAGGTGCAGGTTTGCTACGGGATGCTGCGAAACGCAGTGTAATGGCTGCATGAATGTTGCATGGGCTATGTTTTGGGGAGGAAGCCGGAGCACGAAACCTTGTGTTTTTCCGTGTAAAGTGGCTGCAGCCGGCGATGAAAGGTACCTCGTCTGTGCGGCGGTTGCGGCTGGGGTCGTTTTTGTCGCGAATTGTTCCTCCTATGTGTTTTGCAACGAGTGGTTGTTCCTGTGTGCGTAGTTCTATGCGCTTCTTGAAGCTGTGGTGGCAGATCGCATTGGAATGGCTGCATGATTGTTGTCATTTGGTGTTGCCACGTCCGTAGATAGGTGCAGGTTTGCTACGGGATGCTGCGAAACGCAGTGTAATGGCTGCATGAATGTTGCATGGGCTATGTTTTGGGGAGGAAGCTGGAGCACGAAACCTTGTGTTTTTCCGTGTAAAGTGGCCGCAGCCGGCGATGAAAGGTACCTCATCTGTGCAGCGGTTGCGGCTGGGGTCGTTTCTGTCGCGAATTGTTCCTCCTATGTGTTTTGCAACGAGTGGTTGTTCCTGTGTGCGTAGTTCTATGCGTTTCTTGAAGCTGTGGTGGCAGATCGCATTGGAATGGCTGCATGATTGTTGTCATTTGGTGTTGCCACGTCCGTAGATAGGTGCAGGTTTGCTACGGGATGCTGCGAAACGCAGTGTAATGGCCGCATGAATGTTGCATGGGCTATGTTGTGGGGAGGAAGCCGGAGCACGAAACCTTGTGTTTTTCCGTGTACAGTGGCTGCAGCCGACGATGAAAGGTACCTCGTCTGTGCGGCGGGTGCGGCTGCGGTCTTTTCTGTCGCGAATTGTTCCTCCTATGTGTTTTGCAACGAGTGGTTGTTCCTGTGTGCGTAGTTCTATGCGGTTCTTGAATCTCTGGTTGCAGATTGCATTGGAATGGCTGCTTCATTGTCGTCATTTGATGTTGCCACGTGCGTAGATAGGTGCAGCTTTGCTACGGGATGCTGCGAAACGCATTGTCATGGCTGCATGAATGTGTTTTTCCGTGTAAAGTGGCTGCAGCCGGCGATGAAAGGTACTTCGTCTGTGCGGCGGTTGCGGCTGGGGTCGTTTCTGTCGCGAATTGTTCCTCCTATGTGTTTTGCAACGAGTGGTTGTTCCTGTGTGCGTAGTTCTATGCGGTTCTTGAAGCTGTGGTGGCAGATCGCATTGGAATGGCTGCATGATTGTTGTCATTTGGTGTTGCCACGTCCGTAGATAGGTGCAGGTTTGCTACGGGATGCTGCGAAACGCATTGTAATGGCTGCGTCAAGCTCGGGCCGCGGCTGCATGCATAATACTATTGTCTTTTGCAGCTGAGCATCGTAAATCGTATTGGAATGGCTGCATCCACGCTGCGATAGTGATTTGTCAGCAGATTTTCTCAACTTTGGCGCTAGTGATTTTCCTTTTAAAAATCCTTTTAAAAAATGCTTCAGAATCGTCTTTTTTCTGCTTTGGCGTCGAGATCCATCCGGTTTTGGAGCTGCAATTTGCGACACCGTTGCGCGTAGTTCTATTGTGTTTTGCAACTCAGCCTCTGCAGATCGCATTGTAGTGGCTGCCTCAAGGTTGCTCGGTGCCGCGGCTGCATGCGTAATACTATTGTCTTTTGCAGTTGAACAGCGTAATTCGTATTGGAATGGCTGCATCCAGGCTGCGATAGTGATTTGGCAGCAGATTTTTTCAACTTTGGCGCTAGTAATTTTCCTTCTAAAAATCAGTTTAAAAAATGCTTCAAAATCGTATTTTTTCTGCTTTGGCGTCGGGATCTGGTTTTGAAGCTGCAATTTGCGACACCGTTGCGCGTAGTTCTATTGTGTTTTGCAACTCAGTCTCTGCGGATCGCATTGTAGTGGCTGCGTCAAGGTTGCTCGGTGCCGCGGCTGCATGCGTAATACTAATACTATTGTCTTTTGCAGCTGAACAGCGTAATTCGTATTGGAATGGCTGCATCCAGGCTGCGATAGTGATTTGTCAGCAGATTTTCTCAACTTTGGCGCTGGTAATTTTCCTTTTAAATAAGTACTGGGAAGCGAATAATTTTTAGTAATTACAAAGTAGTACTGGGAAGGACTGGGAAGTGTGGAGTGTGAAGTGTGGAGTCTTAAGAGTACAGTGTGAAGTGAAGTGTTGACTGCGAAGGGTGCAGTGTGAAGAGTGCAGTGTGAAGAGTGCAGTGTGAAGTGTGAAGACTGTCAAGTGTGAAGTGTGACGTGGAGCTTCAAATGTGACATGTGAAACAAGACACCAGTTTCGCAGAGTGCACGCACGCACGGGCATCGCTGGCGCACGGCGCATGCAAGTTCTATAGATGAGAAAAGTCTTATATATATCTTTAAGGCAACTTCCGCCCCGCCTCGTGCGGGTACTACTGGTATACCATATCTTCCATTTCATGTATGCATGCTATATCCAATATCCAATATATACGATATGACATAAATAATCACACTTAATTACCCATATCACATTTCATATAATTATACATCATATCTCACATATTATTCTTCAATTGCATGATATGTGGGTGTCTTAAAATGGGAGCACCCCTAAAAACAATCCATTTTAATAGGATTTTCCATTATAAATCAGAAAAACCATCCAGCTATTGGGGTAAAACATCCGCCTTCGTTGTCGACTCTTTTCCCGTTGATCCTTGGCCGCTTCCTGTCGCAGGTGCAGCTCGAATCGCCTGCGTCGCTGCTCCTCGGCCAGGCGGTCGACCACCAGCACCGTGCGCGAGGCGTCGAAGACGCGGCGCCGCTCGCGGCGGTGCAGCTCGTGAACCTAAATGGAGCCGGGTAGGTGGGTGAGTAATATACGCTGATGATGTTATTACATAATATATATATATACATATATTATAAACATATGTATATATACATATATATATATGTATATATATATATGTATGTATATATATATACATATATATACATATATGTGTGTGTGTGTGTACGTGTGGGCGTGTGTGTACATGTGTGTGTGTATGTGTGTATATGTATACACCTACCCATATGTGTGTACGGATATACGATCCATATATAGATGTGAACCATCTATTACAACAGATACCAAGAGACCTAGAGTACTGAGTACTGTATATGTGTGTGTGAATGCCTCTACCCATTCGCTTTGAAACAAGTTCTGCCTCAGCCTGACTTCAGGGATATGAAGTTTGTCTTTTCCTTCCTCTATCTATGTGCGTGTTGCTTCATGGACATAACCTACCCAATATACTTTGTGTGTGTGTGCATAGGTATCCATATACACAGTGGCCCATCTTTGCTGTTTTCGGGAAGATAAATTCCGGAAAACACACATCTTTAAAAACCTGCTCATACCAATGGCCAATGGCATTATCAACACTCTTCAGAGAAATTACTACGACTCAACAAGTCTAATTGTCAAATGCCATTGCAAAAAAAAAAAACGAGCCTAGTGGGCAACAGTTGGGCATTGTTGTCAAGAGGAGCAATATCCCGGCTACAAGAATAGCATTGCAAAGATAAAGAAAAATACGTGGCTGAAATGGTTTCGGAACAATGGCAAACTCCCTCATCCGATGCTGCTGTTCAAAGTGCTCTCTTCGGACATGTTCTCGCTGCAGCTGCTCAGACTCTTCCTGCCGAGCTTTTTGTGCTTCGGCAAATTCCTGATCTTGGATCTCTTCCAGAGTCCTGTAGTAGTTTGCCAGCATGTCCTCGCTTCGCTCAAACGAAGACGATGGTTCCGGAACACATGTTGCAACTGCTAACTTTGCATGGTAAATCTGCACACAAAAGGGAGTAGATCTAATATGATCTAATAGCCAAGCCTAGCCAAGATTCCTCGAAGGCCTTTCCCAGCGGCACACCTGGCATGGGTGAGTGTGTGCGGGTTGTAATCTGAGTCCCTGCTGAAGAAGATCTGCCGATGTCACGCGGTGTGGGTCCATTGGAAGAGGCCCAGTCTGACTGATCTGACCATGGGCTGCGCGCAAAGGAACCATCACGGGTGCTGTCCATGGACGGTGGCCGCAAGCTTTGCCTTAGGGCAAGGAGTAAAGCACACGCACAGCCATCTGTGAAACGCAAGGAATGTCATCAAAGTCAAAGTTTACATGCTATACATTTCCGAATGTTTGTACATACTTAGACTCCAAGGCCGAGTCTTAGCAGCCTTAGTATTCGCCATGAAATCGGCAAGTTGCAACCTCCACTGGGCGGAACGAATTTGGCGCGCTTCGTTGACAACAGCCTGCTTCGAATTGAGCGACTCCTGGCGACGATGGGCGGTTTCAACCCATCCCGGAAATAATATTGGGGATGGCCATCCCAAATATGGCTTGATAATGCAATATCCAAATAATAGTCATTATATGTCATTATCATCCCATTAAATATGGCATTTTCTTCCCCCACCATGAAAAAATTGCTCACAACACTGCCTCAAGAGTATTTTCTTTCCCCCCTTGTCCGAAGCAAGGGCAACATCATGCGGCGACGCCTTTTTTAAGAGTTACTGTAACTTGTGGGGCCCACCTTTCTACAGCATTACTCACAACACCTACCCTCGACCTGAAATGTTGCAGGTAAAAAACGCCCAAACCTGCCTGTTTGCTCTTCTGAATCAAAGTTCTTGCCGCTTGGCGCTCGCTTTGAACAATGGCAGCTTTTCCAGCTGTATCCAAACGACGCGCTTCGGTGATCGGTGGGATGGCCCCAAACAGTTGCAAATCCAGAGAGCTGGCGCCCGCTTTCAAGGCATCTTGCATGAAGTGTGTGGGGCTGACCTCAGGGGGAACTCGTAGTGGTTGAGCCACCCATCTGAAAAAGATGAATCAACCAGGATCGTCATACAAGGCAGGATGGTAAAACATTGAATGTGTGCTACCGTAAATAGTGCAAAATTCAAACCACAAACTGAAATAATGACACCCCTGACTTGCTCTGTCAAAGGTCCACGCCGCGTCCTGTGATCAAGAAAAACAGTGCAAGTCCAACTACCGAACAACCCCTTGGAATCCCTGTTGTGACCTTGAAAAGGAAGAACTGGAATCAATTCAGGAATGTTTGAAACAAGTTGAAAACCTTTTCGGCGGGGATGTGGCCTCACCAAGCGCCCTTGTAAACTTCTCAAACTGCTCCCGCCGCCGCCGATCAATTCTTTGACGCATGTCCACTTCCTCCATGGCTTAATGGCTTGTTTGCCAAAGGTCAGGTATCTCCGAAGGAACGAAGGGGTGCAGTAGCTGTAATCTAGCAAGCTAATGCCAAAAAACATGTCAGATGTAGTCAATGTATGTCAATGTAGTGTAGCCGTGTGTTTTTTTTGCTTTTGCTCTTGGTGCAGCGGCTGTGTGCTCTTGGTGCAGCGGCTGTGTGCTCTTGGTGCAGCGGCTGTTTTTGTGCGATTATGTGCATACTGCGCGTTGGAGCTTGCGCTGTATGCGGCCCTCTTAATGGTTCTTGAAGCTTTGCGGGCCTCAATGCTCTGACCGCATTCAGTCTTTTTACGGACGCAGCCAGCCTGAGCCTAACTGCGGAAGTTAGAGACTAAGGTGGAAGGGAGAAGCACAGAGAAGCTTCAAATGATGCGTCACCACAGACTCTGCACACAAAGTTGCTGCGATCTACGAATCCGATTGTTTGAGCTCAACCCCACCTGGCCTGAGCTGCACGTTACATGCAAGGTTCAAAAGAGATTGGCCCAACCCGGAAATCGCATCGCGTAGCACTTGAACCCATGGCTACAGAGCATAGTGGTGCAAGAAGGCCCCTTGCATCCCTGTTGTTGAATAACTAGTCAACTCTGATTCAAACCTTAGGTTTTCCAAACGCTAAAGCCCACATCTGCAACTCCCCTGTCCTCTGATCTGCAAAGCACAACCTGAGAATCTTGTGAGGTCAGCCGACACGGATTAACGCTGGATCTCCTGCCCATTCTGAAGGCAATGTGGTCAAGCTCAACGCAAATTAAGTAAGTGGTTTGTTGGGCTGTCCCACGTGCCGGTACTTTGGTGCCTCAAATCAGGGCAGAAACAGCAGCAGGAATCTAATAATCGAAGTCTTAAATATCCTCCCGGGTTTAGGTATTCTTAATCTATTGGTCTGGTCTGGTCTGGTCTTGTCTTGTCTTGTCTTGTGTGTCTGTCTGTCGACCTATCTGCCTGCAATCCTCTGTATTCCTATCTGTATCTACACTGCATGCCATCTATACGCATCAATGATGGTCCAAGATGCAGCGGCGGCTCTGGTCAGGTCTTGCACGAACCATGACCAAAGGGACCTCAGCAGCTGGTTGCCTGCTGGTAGCAGGATATTCCAACAAGACTTTTGAGATTCCTTCTGCTGCTAGATGCTGCTAGATGTTCCAAAAGAGTCCGCATTGCAGTTTGATCATGTCATATCATGTCTATCAACTGTGCTGGCTGTCAGATTGCCGATTGGCTCGGCCTGGACGTGCCTGCAGTAGATGCCCTGGTAGCTTGGCCCCTGAGAGCCCAACATCAGCCCCTGGCTGTGAACGTTGCCTGCACACTCCACAGGCCCTCTCAACCAGTTGGCCAGTTTCGAGGCTTCATCCAAACCTGGCCGGCAGCGATTACTCGCAGAGCACCAGGTTTTCATGGCACTGGGTGTTTGACCAATCGTAGGAGGATTGAAATCCGTGAGAATAGGGATACCGACGAACAATCCCGACCAGTTTCCGGAAGACGAAAATGTGCTGCATCTGAGGCTGGCTCCCACAAACACCAAGTCTTCCCCAGAGCGTGTCTGGCGCGCCTGAGCATATCTAGAAACAAGAGTCTGTCTAGTTATGTATAACCGTCAGACAGTCAGAAGTGTCAGAAGACCCATGCACAACATGTATAACATCCCACCAAATCCGTTGTCCTGCATGTGTTTAAATCATATGCTGACATCAATGTCCGCATTGTGGCCCTTATTATCATCATCAACAATCATCATAAACAATCATCATCATCAAAATCATCATCAAAATTCAAAATCATCACCTGAGAAGGGAGGAACGAAAGCCAGGGGAGTGCGAAGGTGGGTGCGAAGAAGAAGGAGAGGAAGAGGGAGGATGCGGGAAACAGAATAGGTCGAGGAGAGGTGGTGCCAGGAACGCACCGGCTTTTGTCTCGCTGCACCCTGCACCCAATTTTTCAATCGTTGTACCAATTTTAACGCGAGTTCTCTATCAATTTATCCTTCCATTGCATCATTTTTCCAGTGTTTTGCCATGGTGTTACTCGATTTCTCCATCATTACCCTTATGTTACCCCAGTGTGTCGAACGCTTACCCAAATGCACCTTCCACAATCCCTACAGTTGCACCGTATGAACGGTTTTGCTCGTTTCTTCCATGGTTTTCTTTCCGTGCGTCTACTGCATAGTGGTCACACATCAAAACTGCCATTTTTCCATTGTTTTTCCAATGTTTCACGCGTGCTTTACGTGACTTGGCATCATTTTACCCTCTCCTCATTGTTTCCACCGATTTTCCTCGCGTTGTAATCAATTTTCCAAGCGTTCTACTCAAAAATTCCATTGCTTTCCCATTCTTTTCCCATTGTTTTACGTCATATTCCCTCATTTTTTCATTGTTTATCCCATATTTTATGCTATCAATTTATCCTTCCATTTCATCAATTTTCACAGTGTTTTGCCATGGTGTTACTCGATTTCTCCAGTGTGTCTAACGCTTACCCAAATGCACCTTCCACAATCCCGTATAAACGGTTTTGCTCGTTTCTTCCATGTTTTTTTTTCTGTGCTTCTGGTCACACATCGAAACTGCAATTTTTCCATTGCTTTTCCATTGTTTCACGCGTGCTTTACGCGATAATGGTCCCACATCGGGGCCTCAATTTTACTTGGCATCATTTTACCCTCTCCCTATTCTTTTCACCGTTTTTCCTCGCGTTTTAATCAATTTTCCAAGCGTTCTACTCAAATTTTCCATTGCTTTCCCATTTTTTTCCATTGTTTTATGTCACAGTCCCTCATTTTTTCCATTGTTTTTCTCATCATTTTCCCCTCCTTTCCCATTCTTTCCCATTGTTTTATGTCATATTCCCTCATTTTTTCCATTGTTTTTCTCATCATTTTCCCCTCCATTGCAATCTCCCCAAGTCCACCTCGGACGGCGGACCAGGGGGGAATTGATACCCCACCGTCACCCAATTGCCACCTGGTACATAACCCTAAAAAAGTTTACCTGTGGCCACCTTTTTTACCACCTAATTTCCTGATTTTTGGTCCTCTCGGCTCGCTCTGCCCCCAGACCCCCTTAACTCACTTTGTTCGCAAAAATAACTTCGCCTAGCCTAGCGGCTGGCTTTCGTGAAAATCATCAAAATCATCAAAATCATCATCATCATCGTCGTCGTCGTCATCGTCATCATCATCATCATCATCAAAAGCATCAAAAGCATCAAAAGCATCAAAAGCATCATCAAAACGATCGTCCACCTCAAAAACGCGCTTGAAGGGCTATCGGCAAAGTAATTCCTCCTTTTGATGGCTGCTCCTGTGACTGGCTCAAAGATTGCGACATCCACGGAGCATATTATTGATGCCTTCTTAAGTCGCAGCTCCATCCATTTCAGGCTATCCCTGCTCCTGATATTCCAAGTCGCGAACCAGAAAGACACCAAAAAAGCCTCCGAGCTGTGCTCTTGCCACCCACGCATGAGGCTCTTGGACCAATAGCAGCACCTGAGAGCTCGAAATATGTGGAAATGCAGGGTACAATACTGAAGTGTCAAGGATGCTTGAAGCTGCACCTAAAACCTAGTGTAGCTTGGCATCTTGGTTTTTTTTGAGTCTCAGGTCCGAACCAGCCGATGGCGATCCTGCAGTCCCAACAAGCACTTCTGCAATTCTATATATATATATACTACTTGTGGCATCGCATGATATCACAATCACGTCCTCGATACTGCGCTTCTCTAGCAGGCCAGCTAATTCGAGGCTCGAAACCACATCCTCAACACCACTGTGATCAGCCAGAGGGTCGTGCCATTCCATCAGTTTGCCAGGGGGCGAACCACATCCTCTGCAAAGGTGTCGGAAAGCCATTGCTGGGCCACCCTGCACATGTTGCTTTCACAATCTCGTTTTGTTGGCACTTAGTTGAGGCCTGTCTCCTAGTGAGTACACGCCTTTCCGGCACAACTTGAGGCATCCAAGAAGCCAGTGTGCCATGTCAAACATGTTAATGGCAAAGGGTCTGAAGTGGCTAAGGGAGGCACTTGTCGATACACGGCCTGACGCAAGAGGCAATGAAATGCGATTGTGACAAAATATGCAACTGGACTGGAAACACAAATCCCATGTTTTAGCAGCATTGCAGCATGTCCTTACATTTTCCACATGTAAATTGGCCAGTTTGGAGTACGTCGAATGGTGAGACAATCCTAAGCTGTCCCCCTAGCAGAGTCTGTGAAAGAGTCCTGCCTAGCTGCCATGCCATAGCCGGCGGTGGCATCACAGACCACGATGCCTGTCGTATTGCACAGTCCGTGAACGTGTTCTTGGCAACCATGAGGGGCAAAAGTCAATGGTTATCATTGGTTCATCTTTTGGACTCCAGTCTTCGGAAACACATTTCAAATGTGCAGGCTAAAAATTCATCCTGCTGCCTCTGAACTTTCCATGCAGCTTTGCACCAAGCAGCATGCGAAATTCGGAGAGGTCCTAAATCAGTTGAGAACAAGATTCACATCAAACGTGCACTGTAGACGTGCACGTTACGTCAACCGCACGCTTCTAGGCGGTGCCCAGCATGTGCTTTCCTTGAGGTCACCTTCCGCTGGCATCGGCAGGCGTCTTAAAGCATTCAACCACTCATTCTGGGCTGGACTCCTGGCAAAGCTATGCAGGAAATGGATTACTTGGAAAGTTCACAAAATCGCACCAAGTGATACTGATAAGTTATCTGAGTTCTCTGATAATGTAGCTGCAACCACAACTCAATCATGCTCACTCCACCTGATGGCCAACGACTTCACGATACTTTACCCAAAAAACCAGCTGCAGATCGCGGATCTCCTCAAGCCACTGGGCCGAGTACAGATGGATGGTCTGCCGCTGTCAACCGGGATCTGCTCCAACTGTTCACCACACCTCAGGGAAAAAAAAAACGGTCCCCCTGTCGTCATTCTTTGGGACAAGACTCAAGAGGATCCGTGCACACAGGGAACAACCTTGTAAAGTGCAGAAGTGAAAGGGGAAAAAAACGAGCCAAGTTCTTCAAAGGGTTCAATATTTCCTTAGATTCAGGCAGTATGAAGCGCGCTTCATGGCCAGAGTTGCAAGAGATCCAACCTTACAAGTGAACTTTGCTGCAAGGCGGTGAAAGCAATCAGTTCAAAAACAAGTTGATAAGCATGCCCTCTCTCTCACCATCTAAAAGCAGTTCTGCAACATTTTTGCTACGGACCAGTGCCTTGCTGGGAGATCTCCGTCCCATCCTGCCGTGGCCAATCCATGTCATTGACGACCGCAGGCTGGTGGTTTCCAACCCACAGCAAATGTTCAATCCAATCACCGTCGTCATCATCATCATCACCCCAGATCAGATCCGCAAGTCCTTCACCACCTTCCGACCTGGGCAGCTCGCACTCGCAACTGGCCACACGGCCCCGGCCGTGAACGCCGGGTGGCTGATCCGTTCGACGCCGAGGCACATCGCAGGAAACCATGCGCCAGGAGATCTGCAGCAGCCACCTAAAGGGTGCAACGTCCATCCCTGGGATCCACATGGATTGCAACCTATATCTGACAGAGATTGTGCCATGCGCTCCTTGAAACATCACTCACAAAAATGTGTTTATTTTGTCATTTTGGTACTTACCGAATGTGGCTCACTGCATCTTTCGGGCAAGGTCGGCAGGCAGGGTTGCTCCCTCAAAAAAGAAACACCAGACAGCAGCCCATCGGTATCCATATGTACTTGTTTTCTGGTCCAAGGAGCACTGCGCTTTGGAAATGGTGTGAAGGTCACCAACTCTCCAAATTCAACACTGGCTAGTTGGTCGCCTGGCTGCTGGGTTACAGCAACACGAAACCCACTGAAAAACCGGGAAAACCAAGTGCGGTTGTTGAATGTACTGAACTAATAACTACTGTAATCATTGGTGCTTCCACCATTTGGATGCATCACTTCCGAATCCGAAAAGGTTCCCTTCAAAGCTTCAGATCAACTCACTTGCAAAGCGCGAACTTCTGTGTGAGCAACTCTGTAAAGTGCCACGAAATATTTTTCGCAGTCTGCTGGTGGCTGGGAAAAGCCCAGCTCCGGCCCCACAATCACGGTGCCTTTCCCCCGCGCCGTGCAGATCAACAAGGGCACCTGAAACGTTAAGGGCCGCAACGGGACCGGTTCCTGGAGGCTGAGATGTGTATCTCTTACATCTCCATTAGATTCATTAGATGTTCAAAAGAATCGACCCTGGGCACCTTGGAGACGCAAAGCCATAGATCCGGTTGAGTCATGAACTCATGCCATCAGCTTGACAAGAGCTGTTTGTGCCATGTAGTCTCGAAACATCTTACTCAGAGATGACCTGAAAAAAAACACACTATCACGATGCGGTTGGCGTTCAAAGTTTTTGTTAATGTCATGTCCCCTCATGCATGGTGAGATTCTTGGGTCGTGCCAAGGGATGAGCTAGCTACCTCCCTTGCCACCACCAGCGAGTAGTCCATGCTATCTTCTGCATGACGATGACATTAAAACACTGCAGACATGCGAAATGCAGAAACTATGCCAGCTATGCCTTCCAATTTCCAACCAGTGCCAACTTCTAGCGTTTTTCCAGCAGCCGGGTGGCCGATGCTTCCATTGACCATATCTTGCCCAAGTGCCTATTTGGTGGCAGCATCACATTTGGCAAATGAAGCAATTAGAAGGCCGCATTTTGTTGACAATTCAGCTCCTTCTGGCACTGCTTCAAATCCTGCATCAAAAGAGATTCCCTCGTGGGAACACTGCGCCCTGGTCTGTTAAACACTTTGTTTTTTTGGCCCAACACAACCCTAAATTGCGCGCTGGTTCAAAGTCCTCCATCAGAAACATCGCCTCCTCCTTCTCTTCTGGGCCATCCGCCTGAAAAGGAGTGACACGAGAGACGGTTAACCACCGCAGTCGCAAATGAAGGACTCTGAATGAACGCTTGCTGAATCTCTGGTAAGTGATTGCAGTGTACACATATGTGTATCTTATATACAGTGTATATATATATATCTGTGTGTGTGTGTGCGTGCTACAAACGGAGAAAAAACTGTGTAGAAAGTACGAAACACACCGCGGCTACTACACCATCCAAATACTACTCATGCTGATTTTTCCTGCCAAGAAGTCAAGCATTGCTTCGCCTGCAGCATTGAGCACAAGCTGTCCATGACACCAGCATCTAGGATAGTCTGTCGATGCTCTGTAAAGGATGCCAATGCAGCCTCGGAAGAATGGAGCTGGTGGCGGGTAGCTGTTCGTCGATATGTTGCTACTTTGTTTCCAATGTTGCCTTCTTCTTTCAAATCATCTCGTTTCTGTGGACTACGATCACTATGCCTTTGTGTCATGATGTTGCTAATTATCTGGGTGTGCCATGGGCACCATGTTCAGACAAATACTGAATCTGAAATACTATTTCTATCTGCTATCGAGTTTTGATTCCACTATGGAAAGTCTATGGGCTTTGTGGCATCCAAAATGGCCATGTGGGCCATGAATCCGGCTGCCAAGTCTCCGCCGCCCGGCATCGCTCCTTGCTGGTGCCAGATGATAGCACTTTGGCCAAATCTTTGATCCCACCAGCCACCAAAATCACAGTTTGGCGTCGCACCTCAGACTGGGGACACTGTCAAGCAACCAAAGAAAAACCCTTTTGGGAAACGGTGTGTTGCACCTGTCAATGCCAATATGTTTGTTTGGTGTATTAGATCCATGTTGTTCAAGCATGTTTGCACAGCATAACATCACGCAAGGTAGTGTAGAATTTCAGTACTGCACAGCACACTGCGGCACAGCACTTTGCGATGCATTGCATTGAAATACATTGCTTTGCATTGCATTGAATTACATCGCGTTGCTTGACGGTACTAGACGTATGCAACAGTTACATAACATAAATGTCATTGACCAACCCATCTACCTATTTACATATTTACCGCTTACCTATTTCTATCTATTGTATGACATGATATTGAATTCAGTTGCTGCTGTGGAAAATGTTTCCAAAATTCTGGCACGTAGGCATCTAAGCCCTGAACACTGCCAGAAGCAAGGTTGGACAAAGCAGCCATGCACCAGAGCCTTTCTTTGATGCACCCCAACGCCTCACCCTTCAAAACTTTGAGTAGCGATTCCACAACTCCAGTAGCAACGATGGCATCCTTGTTGGATTCGTGATTTGCTGACAGATTGCACAGGGTTGAGATTGCCTCTTCCCTCTCCAGAGCATTGCCAGACCGCACGAGCTCTGCCACTAGGTTTATGACCCCTTCTCTCGCAATGATGCTCTTGTTGCTGGTACTCTTGGAAGCCAGTCGGCCAAGCGCCGCCACAATCCAAGCACATTCATGTGTAGCGGGTTTCATGGAACCCACTGCCAACATCCTATGCAAAAGGTCAATCATAAGTTGGGCGGCGCCACACTCCATCATGAGCTCGCGATTCTCTGAACAGTTTGCTGCCACACAACCCAGCGCAAATGCTGCCCTTTCTCTCTCTTCGGGTCCCCCAAACTCAAGCATTTTCATCAAACCAAAAACAACTGACTTTTCAACCTGAAAATGCTGGTCCGCAGCCAGAGTCGCAATTGAAATTGCGTCCTGACATGTCATCTGAGAAATTGGACATGGTGCGTTGGACAAATGGCAGTTTGCAATGGCTGTGGCAACTTGCTGGCAGAATACAACCAACACCCATCTCTCTCCACTTGTCACCTGATTGGATTGATGCCACACCATATGATCCAGCAAGCACAGCTCACCTGCTCGAAGTTGGTAAAAATGTTCCTGCTGCTCGCTATCCCAAACTGTGATCCCCCCGCCAGCGAAACCTTTCGGGCTGTGTAGTTGCAAAATCATGGATGCATGCACTTGGGGGCCATCCACATGCCGTGTGAGGTGACTTTTGCCATGTGTCGCTGAGTACTTCGTCACGAAAGATTGGACACGGCGCAGCGTAAATCCATTTTTATCGGGATGGATCGAATGCCACCACCGAGTCAAATGAACCGTAAGTTCGTCCAAGAGCGGCAACAACAATGCGAGCAGCGGCGGATGCTGGACTGCACCAAGTACCATTAAGTCTGGCACATCTTCCGCCAATTCAGAATAGCAAGAAATATTCCAATGACCTTTCGCATCCAAATAAGAAGTTGTGCAGGGCTGGTAGCATGTTTCGATCTGATAAGATAATTCTGTTAACCTTTGAGCAAGGCCAAGGTCCACAATTTCAAAACCTTCACTAGCCGGCACTGATGCACGCCTGCGTTTGCAGCAAGTGTTCACCCGAAACACGCGTTTTCCCATGCCGCGTGGATTGCGCCCATTGGTGTCACAAATTCTTTTAAGTCATGATAAGTGTGTGTTCTTGTTGACGGTCAATAAGTCTCGTGCCTTCCAACCAATTATTGACACAGAAACGGGCACAAAATGAAAGTGAGTTGCGGGGTCTATGGTCGGGTGCATTAAACAAAACCTTTGCTAAGCCACGGAAAGTTCGAGCCAAAATATGAAAGACAAACGTCTCATGTGTCAGTGTATGTCAGTGTGACATTTTCATATTTCGTCTTGTGTGCATTTTGGCCTCGGCGTGGCGGTTTTTATCTAAAATTAATTCGCCGGTCTTGCTTCGTAATTTGACTCCAGACATTTTGGTTCTTATTGTTTGTGCTGCATCCCCTCTTCCATCCGCCGATCAATATTCTGTTCCATCATTAACCTATCTCTATCTGACTTACTAGGGTTATCTCCATTTTTGTACTGTCAAATTCACTTCCGCCAATATTTTTGCATCAAGTTTCGTTGTATACCCCACTTTCCTTTGCTGACCTAGATTCGTCAAGTAACCTCTATCCATGTATCTCTATCCACCTACCATTTTTGGTTGCCTCTGGCAAAGTTGCCACTCTATGAAACTTGTTGTTTTTTGTCTTGCGTCTTGCGTCTTGCGTGGCAGCTGCGGCACTTGGTCGCTTAGCGTGGCAAACGTGGCACTTTGTCTGGCACGTGGTTGTGCCCAAAAAGAGTATCAACTCACGCCCAAAAAAAAAAAACATCATACCCGAGCTGATTCGGCCCGCGCCTGTCATCCGGTGGTCCCCCAAATGAGTTTTAAGGGTTTATGATGGTTTATGTACTGTTTTTATACTCGCCAGTCTCCAGATGTGCATAATCCAAAAGGGCGAAATCCACGGCCCATGAGCCCCCCTCACCGCCCTGGAAGTCGACTGGGGGCAGTGGGGGTGGATGGTGCTTGGACACCATCGCCACGGAGAAACTTGGAACGCAGGGTGCAAGTCCTTGGCACTTGCATCTTTGAGGGCTGCCGGGACACACTTGTGATGAGAGTGCGAGAACAAACGCGCGACACCAATAGTCTGCGATTTTTTTTTGTCTTTTTTAGCCCGGCATATCACGTGTGCACAGGAGGATTTTTTTCCAGTTCCGTGGCTTTTGCTTTGGCCAATTCCTCGGGGCGCATCGACACAGAGCATGCATGGTGCGGATGGGTTGTCAAAGTGTGTGGTGTCAATGCGCGTTGCCAATGAAAAGGGAATCTGGGCAGCAGAACTGGTGGGACGAGCAAGAGCTTCTGTTTGGGCCGAGCGTGAAACATCACGAGTTCGATTCTCATCCGCGTGGAAGCCGGACATGAACAACCTCAGGTTGCACGCCCTACAAGCTTAGTTCAAACTATTTCATTGTGTGGACGGGAAAAAAGTACATCGCAATAAGGGGAAGAAATGGCCGTAATGCCGTAAATAACAAACATCGGATCATTTCTGGCCTGTCCCTAACGTGCATACAAATGGGTCGACCATTTGAACTTAGTAGTAACGGCAATCATTTGTTTTTCTCAATACTCTCGTTTAATTCGTTGCTTCTGTAAGGACGGTGGTGTACTGAAACACGCACGCATGGAAACACAGAAATTTACAAGCCTAGTACTCCATTCTGCACCATGATGCGGCAACGAAAAGAGAACACCAGAGGCTATCGTCGGGAGACCAACTTTCAGGTCAGCAAAAGACATGGAGGCCAACATGTCCAAACCCAATTCTTCAGCCAAGATGAGACTCTCCGAGCATGATAAGCCAAAATGCTGGGGGCACCGATGCAAACCAGAGCTGCCACGCACAGGCCGAGGTTGGGCACTAGCAGGACGAGCCTGGGAGGGAGAGAGCATGTGGATGTGCTGCTCTTCATCATGAACCGCCCTTTTCTCGCTTTCTGGAAGAAACGAAGAGCCGAAGAGCTGTAACGGAGACGAGGTTGAGGTGCAACAATGCCGCCCGAAAATATTCGCAGGTTGCATGCAAACCAAAGGAACTGCGGAACAAACAAAACCTTTGGATGTGACTGGGTGGACATTCTGTTGCATCCCAAAACCATTGCGCATAAGGACCGACAACGACTAAGACATGCCTAGGTAGAATTGGCAATATATGCTTTAGTTCTAGGCCCGAACCAAGCGGAACAGATTAGCGGCTGGTAACGCCTCATTTGGACCACCGACCCAGCATTTCTTTTTGGCATCATAACGGGCCAAGGTCTGAGGCATACCCATGTCTGTTATGTCACCTTCGATGTGCACGTCGAATGATTTGCCGCGAAAAAATTGATCTGCAGAAGTGCGCCCTGCTTTCGTCAACCCAGACGCCTCAAAGAGAAGTGCACGATCTGGGAACGGCCCGCGAGGCACATCAGGCGTTGCGGGGCTTTCACCGGGGGCATTTTTCAACCAGCTGCTGGTAAATTTTGCGCCTGCTTCGAACATAGTGCACAAACTAATGCGTAGACGGGCGTATACCCAAGTACCCAAGTACTTTTTCAGCTTGTTTTTGTGCCACGATACCACCACTCGGCAGAATACAGGAAAGAATTGTCCCGACCCAATCCAGCAAATTCTAACGCTGTCTTCGCTGGCACACGCACGACATAGTATTGCTCTAGGTTTCTTACTGCGCCAGTTTCTGTGGCCAAGCTCTCGAACAATAGATGCGTCACAATGTGGAACAAGAAAGCGGTGGGCAAACGACGCATGGCATGGACTAAATGTATGGCTGTCTGCACACCCAATCAGCAACTTTGTCGGCATTTTTTTTTTGCAACCAAATCCTCTCCAGGATGCGCGTCAGCATGACATTGACGACATGCTTCAGCTAAGTCCAAATCCTGCACACTGTTCAGCACAGCCACACAAAGTTTTGGCAGGAATACGAGGGCTCACTTTTTTTGTTAGCGAAGGCAAACATACGCGGGTTGAAGGCCGCTCTGGCAGCACAGAAACCCGATGATTCTTCATAATGGTCTGTTGGAATTCCTACAGTCAACAGAATCCACTGACCGTTGGTCAGGCGAAACGTCCCATCACCAGAAAATTTGATGTGGGTTTTGTTGTCAAGCCTGTCCAACGTCTCCTTCAGCAGCATTGGAGTGCAGAAAGCAACAACGGCGGTATATTCAGGAGCGTCCGATGCAGCAACAATTTTCAAAGCATCGCGCGCTTCATCTCAATTCTCCGTCATGCCAACCGTTCGCGCCAGCTCGCGCCAGTCGGACTCGACCCACTTAAAGGGGCGCGCCTGTTGATTTGGGCGGTGGTTTTTGTTCGAAGAAGCGAGCCACTTATCAGTTGGTCGCGCGCCATCTTGATGTTTGGGTTCCGACGTTCGAATTTGCAGCCACGTTCTCTTTTAGAGCGTTCTCAATTGTGGATGTTAGTGGGTTCCACTTCTTATAGGTATTTCTACTTGGTTGGGCGCAGCAGGTTGCCGATTTTGAACCGGATGCGTGAAGCAAACAACATCCCCCATAATCGAACGTGTCAACGTGCTGCAAATGCAGTGTTTGCGCGTCTAGGTTTCATAAAATGAGGTCGTTTGCTGTTGCATCTTTGACCTTTTGCTCATTGGACTGCATTTGGGTGGCCACTGGTTATCACAGGCATCATTGACATTGGCCATGTCCGGATCCAAAAGCCCAAAAACCTAAGTACGCACAAAACCCAAATTTTAAGCACTGGGTCCCTCTACCTGGACGAAGTTGGTACAGCGACGTTGTTCCAACATAACACAGACCATGTGATTGCCAACTCTCGTGATCGTTATATGAAAAGTGGTTTGTGCAAGCGGGCACAGTTGGCAACCGTCACCATGACGTATGTCGATTCCAGCATTCACAATTTTTACGTTCGTTTCGTGCCCAATGACGTGTTTAACAGGCAGTTGTCGTCCGAAAACTTCTGAGTTTTCAGATTTGTAAGGTGCAACATGTTGGAATCAGAAGATGGAAATCGTCGAAATTGTTGTCTTTGTTGCACGACACTTGGAAATGAAAAACGTTTACAAGAGTACTTGTGCTATGCCTCTGCTGCGTTGACTTTCATAATAATGTTGAAATGTTGTAATTTGATGTCTCTTGGTTTGCGAACCCGGATACGTCGTTGATGATTTTCTGCAAGGATTCGGTTGTCTACCAGGATTTGTTTTCAGCACTTTCGACCTGTGAACACTATGGCCTTGAAAAAGGAACGCTAAAGAAACCGATCCACCCTAAAAAACACCACGAACAAAACACCAGCAATTTTTCAAAAAAATCAAAAATTCAAAACAAAAACTACCGAAACCGTAGCAAAAAAAAAATGCAACGGTATATATTTATATATGATATGTGATACGTAAGTACTTCTGTGACCTAGCGCGCGTGCTGCGGGAAACATTGGCTACCCAACCCCGCCTATGTATTTCAAAACATATGAGAGGAAGTGTTCACTCAGAATCTCGGCAACCCATGACCCTACAGAATGGTCAGCAGTTCATTGGACATTGGATACTTCGGAATCTCCGCATATTCAAATCGAAGCGATAGCCGATCCAATTGGATTGATTCCGGAGTTGGTGCAACATTCGCTTGATGAGTTGTTGCAAGTGTGAGTTTTTTCCAGCCCTGTTTGCTCCCTGGCATCGTCCGAAGGGAACGGAAAACACATATTCCTATATCAATATCTTGGCTAAGACATTGTGCGCCGTTCACACCACAGAATTTCGCCCAATTGTTGTGGTCAGGTTGCTTCATACCACGTTATGCACATTCGCATATACAATTTTGGGACGCGTCGAGTCGACGTTGAAAAAAAATACCTGCAACTTGAGAAACATGGCCGTAAGATGCCTTAGGAACATCACAAGGTTGAAAACATTTTGGCGATGGCAAACCTTCCCTTGATAAGGAACGGCGGTTAAAAAAAAACTGGTGTCGGCAATAGAAATATGCCTCACTCTTTCACTTTGTCCCTCAACAATGTG